AGGGGGAGGGGAGGAACTGGAGGGGGAGGCAGTCAGCTCCTGGAGGCTGAGCCTGCGTAGCTTGCCCTGTGGGTGAACTTCCTGTCACACGAACTTCAGCTGCAGGGTCTGCCCTCTGGGCCCAGAGGAAAGGGGGGGCGGAGGGGGGCGCTGAGGAAGAGGCTGCAGCCCTGAGGAGCGGCCTCTCGGACTGCCCACCCCCGGCACGAGGACAAGGGAGGGGAAGGGGGCTGGCCCTGCCCTGCTGGGGACCCCTGTGACAAGGTGGGTGCCCCCCCCCACGGCTGCCCCTGCCCCAGGCCGCTGCCGGGCCCTGGGCAACGGGTGGCTTACCGCTCCACAGTCTCACAGAACAGCACGATGACCTCCTGCTGCACGTAGTACTCCCGGGGCGACTTCACTGGCACCATGGCTGAGACGTAGCTGCACCACAGGGAGAGTGAGCGAGGGCTGAATCTCATCGCCACCCACGTCTGTGCCGCGTAAACGCACAGCCGCCAGCGTGACCCCCGTCGGGGCAGAGCTGCTCCGGGTCAGGCCCCTTCCAGCGCCTCCTCGGCCCCGCCTGCTCTCTCGGCCCTGCCCGTCCTGAGCTGCTGAGCTGTCACTGCTCACCTGCTCACCTCCAGCATCGCTGCCTGGCCAGCTCTGACCAGTGAGCAAGGGGAGGGAGGGAAGGAGGGAGAGGAGGAGGGAGGGAAGGAGGGAGGGCGGAGGACACAGGCAGGCAAACGCCCTAAGCACCGGCCATCTGGGCGCCAGGGGAGCCACGGCAGGTGGGACGGGCTGAGAAGGTAGGAAAAGGTGATGGCCCTCCCCCCACTGCCCGGATGAGACCATTCTTCCTCCCTGAGTGGCTGCCTCTCACTGCCGGTGGTTATGAAGCTTGTTTGGGAAAAGCAGGGAGGAAGGGAACAAATCTCTCCCTCTTCCTGGAGAGGAGGCCTTTAGAGCCGGCGGGTTTCCTTCGAGACGGACAGCTCCTAGCAACGATGCTGTTTTTGTTGGCCAGGACCACCGTGGCGTGAGCGCCCAGGGCTGCTCTCCCTGGCCCA